AGCTGCATGCTGGGAACCCAAGATGTGATACAAGCAGCACAAAACCTGGCCAATCAGAAACTGACAACTAGGGACTGTCCCGAGTCACCTTTTTTTGCTCCCGATCCGATTCCGATCATTTGATTTTGACAATTTGCCGATACCGATTTTTCCCGATCCGATCTTTATGCAATGCATTAAGAGAAAAAAAAGAAAAAAAGCATTCAAGTTGTCCCTTAGGGTTATTTTTTTATTTAAATTGGATATTCTATCCAACATGGATATAGCTTCTTTCTTTCACAGCAGCATTGGATCAGTTCAGTTGTGCAGCATTGGATCAAAACAAAATAAAGCTTATCAGTACTCGTTAGCTTACTGCTACAATTAGACACTGCGCCCTGCCCACTCTGTTGCCAGATTTGAGAGAAATAAGCAACCAGGTCTATGAGAACAAGCCCCAAAGAAGCAACACATACATGATGTTGTGTCATTTGAAACCAAAACTAAGGCCTAAGGATGACTTTAAGACTTGAACATGGTCATTTTTGTTTTGTAACATTGAATACAACATTTAAAAAAAAGTATTTAAAAAAAATAATTTAAAAAATCCCGATCCCCGATTTTTTTCTCCCGATTCCGATCTTTTGAAAATCACGTGATCGGCTCCGATCCCCGATCACGTGATCGGATCGGGACATCTCTAGTCCTAATGTGTGCATATGTATGAATATGTCTTTTGATTGTGTGTATATATATAGATATATATATTGGTATATACATATTTTTATATATTTGTTTTTGTATTTGGGATTGTGGGAAACGGTATTTCGATCCTCTGTCTGTACACACAAACTGAAAGATTGACAATAAAGTTAACTTTGATTTAAAACACATGAAAACACCCTTTGGGCAAACAACAGAAGCCAGACTATTTAAAAAAAAGCCCAATAAAGTGTATTGACCTCTTTGAAAGCTGCATGTTCCGCTTAGACTTGGCGACGGTCCGCCCATTAATCACGTGTGGGTGCTCGGATCAAACCGATAAACCAAACTCATCTAATAGGGGTCGACGTCTGTGCATCAAAGGCTAATGATAGCATGTTCCCGCGGCACTATAGCCACCGCTGCTCCAACAAACAAAGCACACACTAATGATGCTACACCAGCATCTGCTGTGTGATCCTGAGGGGAGGAATCACATGCGAGCAGCTCCATGGCAGGAACAGCTGCACTGTGTAGGAGGCATGCTGAGAAGAGAGAGGTATCAGAGCTGAACTCTGAGTCTTTGTCTCTGCAGTAAGCACAGAGCTTTGTGGACTTGGCAGCAGACACTTTAGCTTTGCTGTGGCTTTATGTATCCGAGGATATTCACCATGACACATTGAATCCTTTAATAACATTTCTGAGAGCTCTTCACCCTTAATTTTGCAGTAGCATTATTTTAAATTTCAAATGAATCCACTATTTGCTCCAATACAAACTTTTTAGACAAATATATGGAATTCAATTAACTTAGTAGATATCTATTGACCCTAGAAAGCCTGTTTTGGTGACATCTCCCTCTAAGGACAAGACAAATCTGAGACTATCCTCTTAGAAAGATCTTAAAAAGGCAGCCCCTCACCCCCTTTGTTAACATTTCAATCAATACCTGGATGTCTATGGAATCATCATTATGTTATTTGATTCCATAGACATTCAACAACTAAGCAAAGATAGACAGCTGAACAAAACATGGTTTGATCCTAGGCTTTTATGATCGTTTGAGTCTTTCAAAATATGAAAAAATAGTAAATTCCCACCTTAAAGTACAGTATCTTAACTATCTATTTAGCGAAATCACACATTTAGGCTATTTATGTAATCTTCTTTTGATAACTTAGTTCAATCTGTTCCCTTCAATTCACTGAGTGTCCCCTGAAACAGTTTGGAGCCCCTGGAGAAGCTGCCTCCCACTTTAAAACTCTAGCAGCTCTAAAGAAACCATCAATAGAGGGTGAGATGAATCACTAGATGACTTAAAACTTTAGTCAGAGCATATAATATGGTGCTATAGAAAAGGTCATTAGGATTCACCCTTTGGGAGAACACTGGATATCTCTTTAAAGTAGAGACACTACATACTGATATACACCTGAACATCAGCAGGAGAGGACTCTTTAAAGTAGAGACACTACATACTGATATACACCTGAACATCAGCAGGAGAGGACTCTTTAAAGTAGAGACACTACATACTGATATACACCTGAACATCAGCAGGAGAGGACTCTTTAAAGTAGAGACACTACATACTGATATACACCTGAACATCAGCAGGAGAGGACTCTTTAAAGTAGAGACACTACATACTGATATACAACTTACAATGAGCAGAATAATATTATGATATGAAACAGAAAATAAGCGTTTCCTCATCTGCTGTCAGAATGTGGAAAAAGGCCTAAATGAGAAAAGTGATTTCATTATAAAAAGGGCGACTGGGTGCGGGCGGTGACTCAGCCGATAAATCAATAAACACATCAGAATGAACCTTGTGACTTTTGAAATTTCTTCGAGCTCTCCTCAACTTTTTCTCGGTCTCTATCAATCAGAAAAATGCAGTGAGAAAAATAAAATATATAATGCAAAATTCCCATGCAGGAGGAGAAAAGATCACGTAAAAGTAATCATCCACCTTCTCTCTCTCTCTCTCTCTCTCTCTCTCTCTCTCTCTCTCTCTCTCTCTCTGTGTCTCCCCTCTCTC